TTGTGGAAGTTATCGATGGTCAAAATTTAAAAAATTCTCTGAAATTTAATCAAAAATTCAAAAACTCATGAATCTAGAAAATCGTATTTTTTGACCTAAATCGACAGGCCGCGAGCTCTAAATGGCCTTTAAAAAATCTATAAAAATAGGCAATAATATTTCTCATAAAAACGAATAAAATTAGGGGGTAGGGTTTTGAAATTTTCAAAAAAAGCATTTTCGATGGGAAACCTAATGTATATACTATATAGACTTTCTTCTGTTCGCCCATCCATCAGCAGCAGTCACTCAACATTTGAATGCAATGAATGAATTAAATAGAATTATAATCTGATAACATGATAAGATTAGAAGCCTCATGGCTCTTGGGAATCTACCTTATGGGCAGTAGCGCCGGCGTCGCCGCCGCCGCCGATTCTTTTTGAAGTTGACCACGCCGCCGCCGCAAAGCCTGCCGGCGTAAACCTCTAGTACCTACTTGAAAATTTTTGAAATCGGACAAAAACCGCGCTTTCCACTCACATAACGATACTTTCAAAAAACTCAAAACTTGATATATTTTAGGCAGAGTAGATTTTGTCCGATTTCAAAAATATCCAAGACGGTCCTTAAGGAGGCTAAGCAGAATTTGTATATCAAATTTGGTCGAGATCGCCCAAGCAGTTGTTGAGATACGCTTATATCATATAGGTGGGAGTTGCCACGCCTATTTTCCTAAAATTGTATGAGTATGAGTTTTTTGCTTAAGAACCATTGTATATATAAATTTTTAGTAAATAATGATGAGCTCCTGAGCCACACTGCTCAGAAAATCTGAACGTCCGGGACATACACACATGTAAGATCAAGACACCATTTCTGCTTAAATTGCTTAACTTCGAAAATGTTTATTGTGTTAGATGAGGTACCAATTTATTCGAAAATAAATGTTATTTTAGGTAAATACCACATGTTTAGCAACTTTCATAGACAATTTTGAAATTAGCGATTGTCAAAGTTGAAAAAGTTAAGAAAAATATGGGCTTATTAAAATTTAACCGATGAAAACTTCAAATAAGCTAAGTCTAACAATATATTGTTATACATCATTTTAAAGGCCTATAACTCCTATTTTCAAAACTTGTTCGGGTATTAAAATCGGATGACAAATAGTCAGGCTGTTAATAGAGACTTCATGACTTTTTTGTAGCACTGTGTAGTTAATAGAAATAAAGCGTGCAACGCTTAAGCAAACTAAACGAAAGAAGAAGGAAGAAGAAAATCTAAAAGTGACAGATAGAATAAGCGCTGGTATTCATATGCAAATATGCATAGATGTATTTTGCAGTATTTCAACATTCCTCACGACTTAGTTTAGTCCATTGGGATCTGAAAAAAGAACAGTCTGCTTACGAGGCCTCTCCGATCGACGCACTGATGGAGCAATTATGCGAGGTCTAGAATTCTCTTTTGAACAATGGTTTGAAGTTGTCCTCGAAGTAGCAGATGTCATTTCGATAGCGTATGGCGAAGTCCAAATGTATGCGCTCCAACGGGTTGGAAGCCTCGGGCCAGGTTGAAAAGTGACGTTTTGGGTTACTAGCGGTGGCTTCGCAGACTGGACATGTTTCACATGCTGCCTTGATAGCTTCGACAATCTTCGGGAACCACACATACCGGCGACTCATCTGTTTCACGCAGCTTTGACCTTAGTGCCCGTCGTGGAGCATGCCAATTATTTTGCGTCTTAGCTTCACAGGCACGACAACTCGTATATTATCTGCATCCAAAAGTATAACTCCATTCTGTAATGACAAGGAAAATCGGCGATCAAAGTATGGTTTTAGGTTAAGTTGCGACTTCGGTAGATGCTGAGGCTAGCCTTTCTTAATCATTTGCTTAACAAATGTTAGCTTTCCATCTTCTCCAGTTTCCTTAGCGACAGTTGAAGAACAGAGAAGAAAAGCGTTGATTGTGGACTCGTACACTTCGTTGACGTTAAGCATGTCATTTTTCTAACGATCGAATTCAGTATCTTCGCCCACTGGTAACCTTGAAAGCGCATCTGCATTCGCATGTTGCGTTGTGTTCTTGTAGGATATAGAATATTTATAGGCTTGAAGGAAGATTGCCCATCTTTGCAGCCTATAAAGTCTCGCTACCGGTAATCGCTCTATGATTAGTGGTAAGTTCAAATGGACGACCGTACAGGTATTGGTGGAAGCGGGTGACTCCGAAAACTATTGACAATGCTTCGTTTTCCGCCTGTAAGTAATTCATTTAGCTTCTGTTCTGTGTTTTGGAAGCGAAGGCAATGTGATTTTCGAATGTATTAGGGTATCTATGGGAAATTACGGCGCCAACTCCATATTTCGATACGTCCGTCGCGAGGATGATGGGTAGCTCACCATCATAGTGAACTTGTTGAACCGCCTCGATGATCTCTTTTTTTCAACTTAATGAAGGCTGCTTACTGCCATGCACCCCATTCAAAACTTTGACCTTGCCTTCTTAGGATATTTAGGGCCGACGTCTTTTCGAAAAATCTTTATATATAAAAACGAATTGCTGTTCGTGTGTTATCGCTTAACTCAAGAACGGCTCAACGGATTTGCTTAGTTGTTATCTAATTTTGTGTCTTTCTGTTTGTAAAGAGAAAACTGGAAAAATGAACTTATCAGATATCTGCAATATCAGAAAAAAAAAAATTATAAATAAGCCGCAATAATGCTATTTCACTGAGAAGGCATAAAAACCCTAATTCGGAAATAAATTTGGATAGGGTTTCCATCATTCGTAAAAAAATGTTATATATGAAAATGGATTGCTTTCATGTGTTATCACTAGAGAAGATAAAAATATGCATTTGCATAAAAAGCATATTTTTGCATATTTTTGCCATTTTTGAATGTGATAGCATATTTAAAGTTATAGCGCATATTTTAACTATCAAGCATAGTTTCGGCATATTTTTTGTTAAAAGATTATTTAAAAGTCTTTTGTTAGTGTTTTTTAAATTTATATAAATGCATCCCTTACATATATTTTAATTTTAACATAAAAATCTGGCAGCACTGTACATCCTGCCAAATTTTTCAATATGGTATTCATATAGTCGTTTCTCTTTCGCATACACAAAATATCTAAAGTCATCCACTTGTCAAATCTGCGCGCGCAGCTGTTCGCGAAATTGTTTGATTTCTTTGTTAAATAAAATGCCAAGGTGCAAAGAAAATTTCCGTGCATTCCTTACGAGAATGGTAAATGAGCACAAAGACGAACTACGTAGCGACGGTAGTGTTTTGTTTTGTAAAAGCTGTGATAGAAACCTAAACGCGTCTAGGACCTTCCAAGTAACACAGCATTTTTCTACTGCGAGACATCAAAAACAATCAAAAGCTCGACTAGGAAGATTTTATTAAAAGAATGCACAGAAAAATCTCCACATCCGTTTTTTGTGGACTTGTGTAAAATGTTTTTAAAATCGAACATTCCACTTAAAAAAATATCTGATCCTCATCTGGTTCAGTTTTTGCAAAATTATACAAATCAGATCATTCCATCTGAAAGTACACTTCGTCAAAGATATGTGCCGTTGTTATATGGCGAATGCAT